ATTTAGCCAGAAATAGTGAGTAGTATATTAAATACAATTTTTCTTTAATACACCACACTAAATAAGTAGATACCACTTTTACTTTACAGATGAGAAAACTGAGGTTAAGGGAAGTTTTAATGTCCATTGATTGAATTAATTATGAAAATATAATCCTTTCATGATTCAAAAAAATCTTTAAAAGTATCAAAGAAAAAATAATGAGTTGAATTTGACAGATTTGTAATTACAGGAAATGATAACTGTCATCTTTCATTCTAGTGAAAGTGATGCTTTTTGTACCTAAACTCTTCCAACATGCTTGTTTCTATGTAAAAACAGATTATGTTGAGTGGCTCTGAGCCACACTTCTCTATACAACACAACCATTTTTAGTCATGAAGATCACTTTGGGTAGCATGGACATTTTAACAGTATTAATTCTTCCAGTCCAAGAACATAGAATATCTTTCCATTTATTTGTAGCTTCTTCAATTTCTTTTTTCAACGTCTGATAGTTTTCAGTCTACAGATATTTCACCTCCTTGGTTAAATTTATTCTTAAGTATTTTATTGTTTTTTTATGCTATTATAAATGGGATTGCTTTCTTAACTTCCTTTTTCAATGGTTTGATGGTAGTACATAGAGACACAGCAGATTTCTTCGTGTTGATTTTGTATCCTGAAACTTTACTGAATTTGTGTTAGTTCTAACAGCTTCATGGTGAAGACTTTAGGAGTTTCCATATATGAGATCATGTCATCTGTAATCAGAGACAATTTTACTTCTCCCTTTCTGATTTGGATGTCTTTGATTTCTTTTACTTGTCTAATTTGTCTAGCTAGGACTTCCAGTAATTTGTGAAATATAAGTGGTGAGAGTGGACATCCTTGACTTGGTCCTCATCTAAGAGGTAAAGCTTTCAGCTTTTCACAATTGAGTATAATGTTAGTTGTAGGCTTGTCATTTATGCCCTTTATCATGTTGAGGTACCTTCCATCTATACCTAATTTATTGAAAGTTTTTATTATGAAAAGATGTTGAATTTTGTCAAATAATTTTTCTGCCTCATTTGAGATCTTATGACATTAACGACCTGAGAAATCAAGGTTAACCATGAATTAATTAAATTTGGGAAGAATTAGAGAGAGAATGAGAGAAATTTCTCTATTCCAAGGGCATATGTTTACTAATATATTTCTCTGTCAAAAATTGATATACTTTTATTTTCTTCTCTTTCATTATCTCAATCTATTTTACAAATAATTATTGAGCTCTTACACAATATGTGCCAGACACTGTCCTGAGACTAAGGATTCAACAAGGAGCAAAACAGACATTGTCCCATAGGACTATTATTAGTGATAAGAAGGAAAGTACAGAAAATCATGACAATAATAGGAGGACTTGGCCTAATCCTGGGTAAATGTCCATGTAGAAGTGGCCTTTGAACTAAGATTTGAGTGATGAATAGGAGTTAATTAAAAGAACAAGTGAGGGACTGGCCCAGTGGCGTAGGGGTTAAGTTCTCACATTCCACTTCGGCGGCCTGGGGTTCACCTGTTTGCATCCTGGGTGCGGACATATGCACCACTTGTTACGCCACGCTGTGGCAGGCATCCCATATATGGAGTGGAGGAGGGGTGTGCATGGATATTAGCTTGGGGCCTGTCTTCCTCGGCAAAAAGGAGGAGGACTGGCAGCAGATGTTAGCTCAAGGCTAATCTTCCTCAAAAAAAAAAAAAAAAAAAAAGAATAAGTGAGTAAAAACATTCCAAGTAGAAGCAGCAGAATGTTCCTTGAGTTGAACTTGAGAAGATAAAATGAGCTTGGTGAGTTTGGAGAAACTAAAAAATTAGTATCGCTAGAGAAAAGTTAAAGAGGAGAGTTCTCTGAGGTGAGGCTTCAGCTGTAGACAAGCCTTATAGTCCTGTTAAGAATTTTGGCCTCTTATCCTAAGGTAAGTGGTAATCCATTGATAGGATTTTGGAAAAGAGGTGGTGGTGATGGTGGTGGTTTTCTGATTTAAAGAGATCACTCTGGCTGCATGGTAGCAAATGGAATCCTTGGGGGCAGTGGAGCTGATGCTGCAGTAGCCCCTTCATAATCAACAAAGCATGAAGTTCTGTTACTCAGATATCCCAAGGTTAAAATTTCAACTAAGACATCCTTGATGTTTTATTCCCCTGGACAAATTCTTTAACCTCTATACAAATATATTGCCTTGTACAAATACTGTTACCTCATTATTGAACTCCTTTCTAATATACTTTTTGAGGTTTTCTAGCTTATGTCCATAAGGTTCATCCTCCAATCCCCTGCTGGGGTAACGCATACGTCTTCATCATGACCTGAACATCGTGAACATCTTGCTCCCCTGCTAGCCACCAGGAAATTCTTAAAGGGGTTCTCTGGGTACAATCTTAAACAAAAGAAAGCATGTAATTCTGATATATTACAAAACTTGTATGAGGTGGTCCCAGCCCCTGGTTTGTGATTACTTTCCCTGCTTCCAACGTGGAATGCATTTGTTATAAATAATAAAATCTGGCTTTAAATAGTGAGTCTGTGGCCTTTTACATTCATAATAATGGAGATAAAATAAGATATTTTTGTCATTTAATAAAAAGATGACTAGATAGTGGCAGAGAAGAGAGAAAAGAACATGGTCAAGAAGTATTCAGAAGGTAAAATAAGAATGTGGTGTTTGATTGGACCTGGGAAACATAAGAAAAGGGGGTTTCAAAGATGAGATCCAGTTTCCTGGCTTGCAGAACTGAACGAATGGTGATGCCAGTCACTGAGTTAAGAAACACTTATAAAGAACAGGAGCCGGCCATACTAAAAACTGGGTGAAGAGGATTCCAAAAACTGTGAGGGCAAACTATAAAAAAAGTCCCCAAGATAAAAAATAACATAGCATCTTCAAGAAAACGAAGAAAGGCAGCGTGGCTAAGGGTGTGGAATTGCCAAGGGAAACAGCAGAGCACAGGTTGGAGAGCTAGGTTCATGCCAGATAATGTGTGATTGTAGGCGGTCATGGATAGTTGGGATTTTACTCTAAATGAAATAAAAATTTAAGAGTTTTAGGTGTAAAAGTTTGTAATATGAGTTAAATTTTATGAATATTATGCTGTGATTTTTATTAAAATAAATTGAGGGTAAAAAAGAATACAAATAGGAAATTATTTGTTTGGAAATGCAAGCAAGAGATAATGGTGACCTGGATGAAGATGTGACAGAGGATACAAAAGAAGTGCAAGGAATCAAGAGATATTTTGAAGATAAAATTAATAGGTCATGCTAAGCTTTATATGAGGGGATAAAGAAAGTCACTGAGAGAAAAGAAAAAATCAAGGAAATACCCTTAGTTTCTAAGTGAAATGGTGAGTCAGGATAGCAGGGAATACCAAAAAGTTTGTTGAAGAAAGAAATGGAAGGTCCCATTTTGGATATGTTAAATATGAGATGTCTGTGAAACAGTGAAGTGGAGATGTCAAGCATCTGTTGGAAATGTGAGGTTGAAGTCCAAGAAAAGAAGTGCTTTAGGGACACAGGTCTCCGTGCAGAAGTGTGTGTTTTAAATCCATGGAAATGATTGCAATCGCTTAGAGGAGGGAGGATAGAGACAAGAGAATTAAATGCAAATGAGACCTTACGTTAAACAGAAGACGAGTTAGTAAAAGAATCTGAAAAAGAGCAATCAGTGAGAGAGAAAGAAAAGCAGGAAAGAGTAGAATCACAGAGGCCAAAGGAAGAGAGGAGGAGAGAGTGGCTCAGCATATTGATACTGTTGTGAAGTAGAATAAGTACATTGGATCAGTAACGGAAATGTTTTTGATGATGTTGACAAGAGCAGATTCAATGAAGTGATAAGGGAAACTAACAGTAAAGAGATGAAAAATGATTATTTTTGTGGATGTGGAGACTGTGTGAAGAGAACACAGAATTTTGATTAAAACGAGGAGCAGAGAATGGACTGTACCTAGAGGACAATGGGTTTTTTGGTTGGAAGATCCTAACACATGTAATCTGAGGAGAATAATCTGGCAGATAGGGAAAGATTGTTAAATCAGAAGAGAAAGGATAATGTAAGAAATAAAGTCCCCAAAAAGATAAAGATAGAATGGTATTTTTAACACAAGTGGAGGGAATGGCCTTTGGTAGAATGAGGTGGACTGTCTTCAATATGACAGGAGGAAAGAAGAAAATGATAGAGGCAAGTGTAGAATCATTTGTAGGTGAAAAGAAGAGAGAGTTTCCAAGTTATGGCTTCTGTTTTCTTATTCAAGCATAAGAAAAACATCTGAGAGATATAAGAACAGCTAGATGAGAGCCTCAACAAATTCCACACTTAAAGCCAAGTGAAGAAAATGAATAGGCAAAGGATGAGGAAGAAAACTTGGAGCGTGTGGTGCCATAAAAGCCCTAAATAAACATCCATCCATCTTGGGGATGAAGAGATGGGACTAAAAGCCATACAACAACATCGAGTTAAAGCCCTTAGAAAGAGAAAGAAAAAAGAGCAAAGGATATAGAGAAAGTAGGAAAAGATTCCTGGGAGCTCCATATAATTAAGACAATATAGTTTGCATAATTTAAGGGTTTTATTTTAAATTTTCAATTTATTAACAGTAAAAGAGTATTCACACTGTCAAAAACTACCCAAATATTATAATTTTGCATGGGAACCATCATTAAATCAGCTAACCCTAACTAATTGTTAGAAATACTCAGTGGAAGAAATTCATTAGAGATTCACAGCTGGGCAAATGCTGTTAATGGCAGCAAGCATATTTGTCAAGATGCCTCTCTGAGTTCTTAGAAATTCCTCTGACAAATAGGTTAATGTAAGTCACTAGAATATAGAAAAATGTTGATTGTTATTATCTTATAATTGTATAATTATATGTGATTTACGCTTCTCTGAGTTTTTCAAGTTGATTACTTTATGATAGATTTTACAAAAATTAATGAATTATAAGAATTAATGAACATAAAAGAAAAGAAGAACACTTGGTTATTTCTCAGGGTGAATGTATTTAATTCAAATTTTACAATTTTGATTCAGCATGAATAGCAATAAATGGATCTTCAGCAGTGTTACTAATAGAAAAGTAAGCACTGCCATCACTGGAAACATAGATTTTAATTCCTGTACAATTGCCATCAACTTTATCTCCAGAAATAACGTCACAATATGTGCCCCCAGGAAGACCAGTTTGCAAAGTTGAAGACAATGCCCTGCAAGATAAAATTTAAGATTAACTTGAATTCAACACAACTAAAAGCACGAATACAGACTGTCTCTAAAACAAACAGCTTCACTTTGTGCTGTAGAACTCTAAGCAATCAAGGTCTCAGTGAGAAGAAAATTCAAACACAAAGACCTCCCCAGTGAGTGTAAAAAGTATTCTTAGGACCAGAAGAAATCCTACAAAAGACTTAGCAATTTCCTAGGCTTTTATTAATTTTACCAAAAACTTAAAGCAGAGGAATATCACTGAAGATTTGAGTGAACTGCCACTCTTAGAAAAAAGTATATCCTATGGTAAACACAAGTATTTTAAATGTGTCCTCATTCAAATGTAAGAAAATACTGACTGCTTTCATGAATGGAAATTGGATTATTTCTTGGAAAATCTCTTTCTTCCAAGAGGCATTTGGGCTGGAGATAAAAATAATCTAGGATTTCTGTGAAGAAGTATATGGTTTTAAATATAAAGCTGTCTCATAAATTTACGTTGGTTCTCCCATCCACAAAAGACAGAAATTGAAGGACTAACCATGGATACTTCTGGCAAGAAAGAGATATATCTGATTTATTTTTTGTCAGTAAAATATGATTTAGGCTAGAAGGCACTAAGCAGGAGTGAAGTTGGTCTTGGACTGAGACATTTCAACTGCTTGCAAAGTCTTCTAAGCTATCGTTCTGCATCTGAGGGAATCTGTACACTAGAGGCAGAGGCTACAAGGATTTTACAAATGAAAAGCAGGCAGAGAAGTCTCAGAACCAACACCCAACAATCTCCTGAGGTGAATCATTGACCATAAGAGACATATTCTTTATACATATGCTTAAAAAATGCTGTTTGTCACAGAGAGAGAGGGAAATGCAGAAAGAAGACCAAAGAACCAGATACAGGAGTAGTTGAGAAAAAGAGCTAGAAGGAGGATATTTCAACTCTGAGGCAGTATTTTTCCACTATAAAAAAAAACAATGGGTGTGTAAGACATGTTCTTCTAGTGACTTCACAACATTTATACTAAGTATGCTGTGTATTTTGCATGAGGTGTGCATGTGAGCATATACATGAGTCATATCCGTATGCACGTGGTATGAAAGTGTGCATAAAAAAATAACTCTACTTAGAACAAAGTCCTTTAAAGAGGAGATCCAAAGAATAAGAGCCATCATCATTTTTCTTCTCGGCCTTTTCTGATCTCTCTGTTTTCTTAATCTACTGAGTGAAGAATTTTTCAGATATGAAAAAAGTAAATGAGCAGGAAAAGAATAAACCAAGAACAAGTTAGTATAGAATGTAATTTCTACTATTACATCTACTTACCAGTCATCATTGTTAAAGACAATGAATCCTCTGTTTCCTCTTCCAAAAGCTACTTGGTTGCTACCATTATCCCACCAGTTTGTAAAAGCTTGGCCATCAACTACATTACGGAACGCAACCATGTTCCTAAAAACAACATATCATATCATACAAAATGCTCACTAATAATTCAACAGTTTACAATAAAATGTTAAGGAAGTTTATCATGAGAGGATATCTCTACATAGGTCTTCCTACCTTATTTGACGCCATCGGTGTTCACAGACCCAGTCATTGCCACAAGTAGTGTCTGGATTAATAGTAACTTCTTTAATCACACCATTATTATTTGGTGGCCCAATCCAATCATTAGCATCCTTAATCAGCACAAAAAGAATTTTAACTTAAAACGTTCAGTTTTATAACATTACATGTGTTTGCTTCTTCCTTCTCCTGTACACCACACCCAATCTGCCCTGCTATTTGTGTCTCTGCAGTGTCTTTATTTAGAATGCAACTCCTGCAGTATTTTTACAGCCCTCTACCAAGGCCTCAGCATCTTCTCCCCAAATTCTCATTCTCTAGTGCCCTATTTCAAACAGGGGGAAGATATTTTTACTCTCTCATTTTCTTTCCAAGGAATTGCAATGGGTTCTTAATATCACTGTAGGCAGCACAATGTCATTGAAATGGCAAGGGCTTCAGCGTCAGAAACAGCAAGATTAAAACATGGGCTCTATTACCACTTGCTAAGAAAACTTAGACAATATGCGTAACTTATCTGTGCCTCATTTTCCTCTTCTGTAAAAGGACCATATTGCTTAATTGCTATAAAAATTAAATAACATTTGTGAAAATGCCTTGAATATGATAATTGCTAAATAAATGTTAGTTCCCTTCATTCTTCCTTTTGGATAACTATACTAATCAACACATCATAATGTTCTTTACTAAACTGACCAAATTTTTAATATTGTGTCTTTCTGATTTGTACTTTTAAAGGTAGTCATAGAAAAAGCAGATTATATCTAGAAAGGTTCTATGTGTCTCTTAAAATCATGTCATGGGATATCTAGTGGACAAAACTAAGAGTTTTCAGCATGCAGAAGTCTTGGGAAAGTGGAAAAGTTCTGAGGAAAAGGGAAATGGTCATAGTCCATGACTCATGACATCAGACATAAGACCAACTCGTGGAAATTAGAAGTTGGCTTCCTATAAAGGGACATTTTCTAAATATCAAAGTTGCCTAACAATAGAATGAGTTGCTGTATAAAGTAGTGGATTTCTCAATTTGAAAGGACTCTAGAAGAAACTAATTAAATACCTGTCTGGCTTGTAGTAAAGAGGGTTTTCTACTTTAGGTGTGAAATTGCTGTATGACGCTCCATCTGAAATCTTCAGTTTAAATAAAAATTTTCCAAATATTTTCATAATGTTATTGCTCATTTCCCTTCTAAAAGAATTGCTACTCAGATTAATGTATTTACCATATCACAAGTATTTTTCTCATCCTTATCTTTCCCAGAATAATCTACAAATTTCTCTTCTTTAATACATATAATTTCCTTCCTCTTATAAGATACTTCCCCTATTTAACCTCAGTTCAAGTGAATAATTTCTGTGCATTTCATAGAACTTTTTAAAAAAGGCATTTAATGAATATTTATATTGCTCATACTTTGGGCAGGTACTGTCTGAAGTCCTTTACAAGTGTTAACTTATAAGCCTCATATCAACCCTCTGAAGTAGGTACTTAGGAGAAGTACATATTTTACTCAATGTATTCTTATTTTTAACTGTTTTCTTTTCACGTGAGGCGATATATTTGTCATATTTCTGAAGCAGTTTGCATACTCTTTGACAACAGAGACTGACTGTGAATTTTAATTTTTTAATATCCACTTCATTGCTAAAAGGGTCCTGCATAAGGTTTTCTCTTAATAAATATTTGATAAATAGTAAATGTAATAGCATCATGTGAAATTAAAACCAAATTTCCTTCCTTTTCTTCCTTGAGAAAAAGATATTTCGTACAACAACAAAACTTACTTGTCCATTCTGAAAATTTCTTGCCCAACGGTAGCTTGACATTATTCTTGTAAATCCATAAGGATGAGCCAGCATAAATCCAACTGCCATTTTGTACAGTCTGAAAGTTACAAAATGACAGCACCATAGAAGAAATGATATTTTTAGTATCATTAAAAGGTAGGTAAAAACAATTGGGGAACTTAGTTTCTTACCTAGAGTCCCAGAATGTAAGAATAGACGCTCCTCCAGCTCCATGTCCTCGCTGATTGTCATGGTTATCCACAAAGACAAGTGCTCTGTCTGAAGGCATGAAACCCCAGCCTTCTCCCCAGTTCCTATTAAAAAAAAATTATATATGTATATATATATACCTTTTAAAATAGCTTTAAAGTAACCTAAATGAGTATTTCTTTTAGTATACCATCCTCAAAGGAAATTCTCTCTCTAATTAAATGGTTATTCTATAGGGTTTTTTAGAGAAACTATGTAGGTATATTATCTACAAATACATCTCATGTATGTATATGTGTATGAATTACTTGTATTACTTTCATGTTACAGGTATAAGATTTTTGTTGTAAAAAGTCCTTTTAGAGGTTTCAGTATATTATAATTTAGATGGATTTCAGAAGTAGCAACATGCATATCATCTTATACAGAATGGCAAACTGGGCTAAAATAAGGCCTCAATATTTTATTGTTATAATACAAACATTTTAATATTTGAAACTAATTAATTGATATGATATATGTAAATTCCACAGTATGGCCACATGGTAGGCAGTTCATAAATGATAGAGTCATTTTAATAACAATCTGACCATCACAGATTATATGCAAACATTAGTCAAATCTAGTAAAGTCATATAATAGGTAGATTAAAATCTCTAAGTTACGTTTTCGGTTTCTAGACATACTTTCTTGTCATTGACATTCTAAATAATAAAGATGATCTATTGGAGTTTGGACCTCTATACCAGTTATTACTGGCAACAGAATCTTTGAAAGTTTTCTAATTAAAAAGGTTCTAAGAAGATAACTCATACTGGGGTAATATGACTAATAAATCTATGAAATAATTCAAAAGATAAATCATATTTCATTTACTTTAAGTATGCCATCTTCTCTCCATCCCACCTGCGCAGAACTGTGCCTAGTTTAGCACCATACTTGAATTCTGTCACACGGCCATTTCCAAAGTACTCGCTGCCTTTAATTGGCTCAGTACCCAGATCAATTACCTAGTAGAAATAACAGAAGAATATATAATTTTAAATAGGAGCTTTAAAGAATTTTAACCATCACATTAATATTTATAGAAAATGGCTTTAAACTATATTATTTGAAATGCTCAAATGGTTTTCCTTATACAAGATTTTTTAAAAAAATTTTTTGCTGAAGTATATGCAGCACTTAACATCTGGCAGACAACATTTCTACATGCTTGGTAAATATTAACTCATTTAATTCTCCAAAGAAAACAAAGACGTAACCATTATCATTATCTCTTTTCTTCACAAGAAAAAACTGTTGCACAGAAAGGTTAATCAATTTGCCTAAACGAACACAGTGAATAGTGCTATAACCAAGATTTAAACTCAGATACACTGGCTTGAGACAACAACTGTATTATTATCTGTCTTTTATAATGGTCTCTGGGGAGATGGTAAATGACATAGAGATGTTTGCAGCTTAAATAAATTCTTTGCTCTTCCATAAAACCTCTTGGAACAAAGAGTTTGCTGTGTTGTCTCTGAATAAAAGGAGGTTAAAGAACACTGTTTGATAAAAATGGTTCAACCATTAACCAACAGAAATTGTATTTTCAACTAAATCTGCCATTTATTTTCTAATGAATTAAATAATATTATTTTATATGCACATATATATATATTGACGTACCTCCTGGTAAATGAAAGGTTTACTTCCTTGAGGGAACCAGTTTGTGTTTAGATTATGCAGTTTATCCAAAAAAGCCTTTATGTCTCCAGGCCACATGTGCTTAGCAGCATCCAATCTGAACCCTGCTACACCCAAGTCGATGAGATGATTCAGATAGTCAGCAATCGTGGAACGCACATAATCTTTCTCCAGCGCAAGATCAAGAAGACCAACCACGCGACAATCTCTGACCTGTAGAGGCAAAAATTTTGTGATTGATACATAAAACATCATCTTTACTCGAGACTTCATGTGATTATTCATTCATTTATTCACTAACAAATATTTCTATAGAGCCTCCTTTGCATTGGCACTACAGGGATGCTGACATTCTGATATGGACATACCTTTGAAATATTTTCTAGTACTAGAAAAACGGAGAATGTAGGAAATAAAGTGGGTGAGTTTTTTAATTGATTGTGGAAAATGTTTTAAATATTGATTCGAGTTTCTTATTTTTAAACAGTCAGATTTGGAATCCTGTTTTCCTAAGGACTCTAAGCTAATATTTAAAATGGAGATCAATAAACCACATGTGGATAATTAAACGCATAGATGGCTCTTTATTCAGATTACTGTTTTTTTTTTAATTACCTGGTAGATATCATTATAGTTCTCAACCTCGCCACTTCCAGAGTTACATTTACCATCATTAAAATCCCAACCAGAGTATGGGACTGCTGGAAAGTCCCTACTTCCAGCATTGTAGTAACTTCCACAAGTACTGCTCGTTCCTGCACCGCCACCACTTCCGCACATATGATTAACTACAGCATCCACATAAATACGAACCTGAAAAGCAAAGTTTCTATTTCAGTTTGACTTATGGAAAGGTAGAAATCTATAATATTACTGATGAAAGTTTACAGCATGTAAATATTTCCTTGCCATTTTATAACTTATCTTCCTAGAAGACAAAAAAGTCAAGTGTGAAAGGAAATCAATGTGAACGGAAGACCTACAGGCATTCTAGCCACTTGCATTGAGAGAACCAAAAACTACCACAACTGTGAAAAATGCAAAGAGCACTTGGTCAGTAGGTTACAATGAACTGAGACAGGAGAGGTTGTTGGTTTTTGAAATTTCCATGGGCCATCCTATAAAAGAAGTAATCAGCCTCTACTATCTACTTAGCATCTGTAGAGAGGAAGGTAGACATTGTCTCTCCTTATGCTCCTCATCAGAGAGAATATAACTATTTACCATCAAAAAACCTATGGGGAAAGAGGCCCGCCTGGTGGCACAGCAGTTAAGTTCACACGTTCCGCTTTGGTGGCCTGGGGTTTGCCAGCTCACATCACTGGTACGGACCTATGCACCACTTGTCAAGCCATGCTGTGGCAGGCATCCCACATATAAAGTAGAGGGAGATGGGCACGGATGTTAGCTCAGGGCCAGTCTTCCTCAGCAAAAAGAAGAGGATTGGCAGCAGATGTTAGCTCAGGACTAATCTTCCTCAAAAAAAAAAAAAAACCTATGGTGAAAAAGACCCAGGAATTATGGGTGGAGATACAAGTCACATAAAATTGACAGCAAATACTGCAACTGGAATTTCCAATTCCTAACTAGAAAAGAGTTCCCTGGAAATGTGTATAATTACAAAGGTTAAAAGTTGATATTTTGCTTTAGAAATAAGTTCAGATTAAACTTTGACTTAACATCTTCTTAGTAGATAAATGACGCATATACAAAGATTTACCAAAATTGAACATAAGGCAATAATTAAATTTTAATTATAGCTAAAGTACGAAGTAAAATAAAAATTAAGAAATACGGAAAATATTATGCTCAAAAAGCAAGAAACAGGAGAGTGAAAGGATTTTCCCATATAATATTTTGAAAGGCAATTTTCATTCACTTACACCAACGTTGTTACATCTGGTCACCATGTCTCGAAATTCATCTTCATTTCCAGATCTTGTACATATCTTGTAGCTAATTGGTTGGTATCTTTCCCACCAAGGTCTTGAAGGGTTATTAACTACGATATTTTCATTGGGTGGAGAGACCTATAAATAGAACAGTCTTACTAAGTATCAAATTATGGCTTACTTTATATCATTGGATACTCTAGAAACTAATTAATAATCTAAAATTATTTCTGAATCTTTGTATAGCAGCTACATTACTTTACAACCATTTGAAAATATAATAGCATATTGTAAATGTCCTACTGAAGAAAGATTCTATCAGACACAAAACATAAAGTTGCCAATAGTACTAAATGTTTTCTTCCTTAGAAAACTGTTTTACTCAGAGTACTTATTATTGAAGTAAAATGTTGCCCCAGCTTCACAGATACAGATCATTATACAATTTACTATAAGCATAGCACATACTGCAGTGCATCCTATGAACAATACCCACCTGAACCCCTCCAAATCCTTTGGGAGCTAAGTATCGCTCACATTCAAGAGCAATATCAACCCAGCGCCACTCAAACAGATGGACAATAGATGTCCGTCCACTTTGGGTATGTGGGTCATACTGAGCCCAGCAGAACCCAATGGCTGAAAGTAACAGAAGGAACTTCATTGTGCTTTGAAGTTGTCAGGGTTCTTTGCAGCAACTATTTATATTCCTGTAAGAAGCATATTTTTCTAAGTAAATATTTACATGAATAGGTACTTAGAGCACAAGCCCTTTATTTATTCATAATCTGAAGAACATTATCAATAATAATGTTAACAAGTGAAGAACATCCGTAAAATCTCCCAGGAAAACAATCTAAATGACCTCTTAGAACTTAATGTTTTCCTTATCGAGGGAATATTAACCTTTTTAAACATCTGGCATTATATATATACACAAAGAAAGCTTAATCGTGTATTATTTAATTAGGATTAGATCTTACTTCTGAGTCCCTCACTAATCAAAGGAAAATAACAATCAGAGACAACTGAATTCATAGTCAAAATATGCCTTAACTATCTATTTGCAAACATTTGTAATGTTTCAAATTCAAAAAGAGACAGGATATTTAATTCAGTTCTGTTTTTCACTCCCAATCCAAATTTTTATTTAAATTTCTACACTAAGATTTAAGAAACTATTTGTGAGTTGAATGTACATGAATTGAGGAAACGGACTGTTTTTCCTCTCCACTAAGTCTTATGCTTAATTCAATGGCTATAGCAGTAGAGTGGAGTTTTCTTTTCTTCTTTATAGCAAATATCTCTTGTACCTGATAAAACACTAAATTAATGAATTCGCAACCCTTTCCTTCTTAATGTGAGCGAAATCCTATAAAAAATAGTACAGGTCAGAAAAACTTAATCCATTAATCCAACAAGTATTAACTGAGTGTCTGCTTTTTGCTAAGCATGTGGATGATGTTCAGGATACGATGAACAAGACAAGACAGACAAGTTTCTTGGTCTCCGGGAGCTTACATTCTAGTGGAAAGGAAAGAAAATATATGAGTAAATGGTAATAATCATAACAAAAAAACAAATTAAGATAGCAATAAAAATTAGTATGAAATAACAGGGTAATAAAATAGAAAATGACTTTACCACCAGGGTATTTTAGACTGGATAGTAAGGGAAAGCATCTCTGAGGAAGTGATTTTCAGCTGGGATTTGAAGGATTAGAAGGAGCCATTCATTTGAACACCAGAGAAAGACAATCTACACAGAGGAAAACATGACAGTAAAAAGCCAAGGAAGGAAAAAGCTTAAAATATTCAAGCAACATTTAAAAAAATTGTGCAGCTAATCAAAGTGTGATACAGTGGAGGGTACAGTGAGATGAGGTTGGAGAGGTAGGCCAAATCATGCAGGACCTTGTCGAACATAAAGAAAGAGAGAGTCATTGAGACTTTAAGAGGGGGAGCTGAGAAACTCGGATACACTATAAAAAAAAAAAAATCACTTTTGCCTCTGTGAAGAAATTGTATTTTAGGAAGACAAAGTGGAGGCAGGGACCTCAGTTAGTCTTTTTCACTGGTCCAGGAAAGCACTGCTTGGCTTGAACTAGGGTACTGACAGGATATATTTCAGAGGTAGCAAGAGGCTGATGGATAGATTAGAGCTGAAGAATGAGGGAAAGAGAAAAATTTTAAAAATAGATATTTGGTGGTGATACCATTTATTTATTTATTTTTTGCTATGGAAGATTTACCCTGAACTGACATCCATTGCCAATCTTCCTCTTTTTTTGCTTCAGGAAGATTAACCCTGAGTTAACATCTGTGCCAACCTTCCTCTATTTTTTTGTACATGAGACACCTCCACATTGTACCTGGTGAGTGGAGAAGGTCTGCACCTGGGATCCAACCCATGAACCCGGGCCTCTGAACTGGAGTGTGTGAAAGTTTAACCACTCAGCCATGGGGCTGGGCCCGATACTATTCATTAAGATGAGGAAAAATTAGGAAGTACTTGCTTTGGAGAAGGTGACCAAGAGTGTTATGGTCAGTAATATTTACTCTATCAACCCTTGCTCTCCTTTGGTCTTTCCTCCAACACCCCGTGTCAACACTGTGTCCTATTTTCTTATTCAGTTTGAGCTATTATAACCAGAATACTATAGACTGGCTGGCTGAAACAACAAATATCTATTTCTAACAGTTCTGGAGGCTGGGAAGGACAAGGTCAAAATGCCAGCACAGCCAGTGTCTGGTGAGAGCCCCCTCTAGTTTCGCAGATGGCATCTTCTCCTTGTATCATCACACGGTGGAGAGTAGAGAGAGCTCTGGTCCCTTTCTCTTCTTGTAAGGACACTAATCCCATTAGGGGGTGCTCCACTCTCATGACCTTGTCTAAAACTGATTACCTCCCCAAAGCCCCACAGACTAATACCACCCCACTGGGGATAAGGGTTTCACATATGAAGTTGGCAGGGGTGAGAGGACCACAAACGTGCAGTCCATAACACTTATCCACTGCAAAGCCAAAGGTTCTTGTATGTTACAAGCAGTTTCATTCCCCTGTGACTTTCAAAGTGCTTTGCTTCTTTCTATGATCCCCTTCTACCATCCTTGTGTACCTGGTAACTACTCTTCTTTCCAAATGCAGTTGAAGCAACATCTATATGAAGCTTATTGCAATATTTCCAGGCATAGTTACTTATTCCTCTGCATTATAGCTTTTTCACTTATGTGACCTTATCAAATTAAATCTGATTTATATTGTAAATAATTGTAAATAGCTAAGTATTCACACATGCATCATTCTGGGCCAAGCTTCTTAAAGGTAGATTTCATATACAATATTCCTAGAATCTAGCAAAACAATTAGCATAATCGCTTATGTGATCAATAAATGGTTGTAGCATACAGACTCTAAGTTCCAGGTATTTTGCAAGACATTGGCATAACTGGGGTTATGTCCTCATTGATTATATAAAATAATTGAACACTATCTCGAAAATTGTATAATGCAATCTACTCTAACCCTTGCAAAAACTTAGCACACATGAAGGAATTAAGGCCCAGGGAGATTCAATAAATTGTCCAGGCTCAAATGGTAAGTAATCAGATTTCGATAATAGGTCCTACTATAAGTGAAAATTCTCTGTATTACACCAATGTTTTCCATAGAATTCTAGACTTCATGTATAATATTCCTAGAATCTAGAACAATTAACATAATGGCTTATGTGATCAATAAATGGTTGTAGAATACAGATTCTAAATTCCAGGTATTTTGCAAGACATTGGCATAACCAGGGGTATGTCCTCATTGATTTTTAAAGGATTGTGTGTGTGTGTGTGTGTATGTGAGAGGAAGATTCAACCTGAGCTAACATCCATTGCCAATCCTGCTCTTTTTTTGCTTAAGGAAGATTAGCCCTGAGCTAACATCTGTGCCAATCTCCCTTTGCTTTGTATGTGTGTTGCCTCCACAGCATGGCTGATGAGCAGAGTAGGTCCAAACCAGGATCCAAACCAACAAGCCCTGGGCCACTGAAGTAGACCCCACAGAAGTTTAACCACTCAGCCATGGGGACAGCCCACTCACTGATTTTTTTAAAATAAATGATCACTATATCAGAAATTGTGCAATACAGTCTACTCTAACCCTTAAAAAAATTTGTACACATGAAGGAACTATGGCTCAGAGATTGAATAAATTATGCTTTCTTATAGGGTAAGTAATTAGAATTTGAGATTGGTCCTCCTACAAATCAACATTCTCCGTATTATGCCAACGTTTCTCAAGAATTCTAGACTCGTGATGCCCAGTATGGTAGCCACAAGCAATATTTGGCTACTGAGCACTTGAAATATAATGAGTCTGAACAGAGATGTGCTATAAGTGTAAAATGCACTCTAGATTTGGAAGACTTAGTGTGATAAAAGAAAGTAAAAAAATTAATTTTTTTGTCGTTCACATGTTGACATAATATTCTGTGATACATTTGACTAAATAAAATGTATTATTAACATTAACTTCCCATTTCTTTTTATGCCTTTTAATACGACTACTAAATTTTTGATATTATTGTCATGGTTTTCATTACATTTATTTTGGACAAGACCATTCTAGACACCACGTAACGTCAGAGAAGGGACAAATCCATGCAAAAAAAACAAAAAACAATCACAAAATGAGGAATATGTTCACTGTCTTAAGAGTAAAGTTCTTCAGCATTTCATTGATAGGAAAATTCATTTGTGATGAATGGGAACTGAGGAAGATAAAATTGATTCAAAGAATGGGTTTGACATTACTAAAAGAGATAAGGTGAAATGGCTTTTAAGGAAGAAAAAATAGAATTATTCAATGTAGGAAATTGGCAAGGAGGATGGCAAGAAATCAATACACTTTTGTAGAACATTAAGTTTGCTGTGGAGGAGCCATAGGAGTTAAAGTAGGAAGTTATATTGCAGTCTCTCAAAGTCAGGGAGAAGAAAGTGGAGCTTCTTCCCAAAGTTATAAGACGCTATAAAAGGTTTTCTTTAATTTGTTTATTTGTTTGTTTTTAAACAGGAAAGTAATGAGAGTAGAGCTTTTGGAGTATATCAGATGGATTGAAAGGCAAAGAGAACTGAGATAGAAACAATTGAAAACTTGTGCAGTAGTAAACAGAGTATTGATGAAAATCTAAACTAGTATTATCGCAATAAGAATGAAAATTGGGAGAGTATGGTAAATTGTTACAATAAGATACACTCAATGAATAGCATTTGCTAATATCAACAGCATCCCGCAGTCTCTTCCAACATAGGCTATGGAATTGGTATACAACTTTGTAGACTACAGAGAGAATAATTGTCCCTAGCCATTCCAACCATCTGAGCTGATAGCCACTAACCGTAGTTGAATAATGACACCAAGGCTAAACTAGCTGAAGAACCATCTAGAATTGTGAAACATAAGTTATTGTTATTAAGCAATAATTAACTAATACAGAGAGGAGAGACGTAATAGATTCAGTGGAGACCTATTCTACAGGAAATGGCTGCTAAGCAGATGTATGGAATAGAGAAAAGGAAGAGTCAGAGGGGACTGTGATTTAAAGTTTAGTGAGTAGAAGAAGGACAATGCCATTATCGTTCATAGTGCAATCTAAAGACAGACTTGGTTTAGAGAAACTGAAGAGCTGATTTGGGGATATACTGAGTTTGAGGGATAAAAAAGCATTAGATATAAAGAAAGAAGCAGGGAGATTTAGGAGCTTTCGACAAGACAATGATAGTTTCAGAAATGGCACACAAAATACTTAACAACTGACTTAGCACAGATACTGACCAGTCAGAACAGATGCCATTCATGAGCAACCAGTATGTACAGGCCAAAGCACGCTGTCTGCATTATTGGGCCTGGAGAGCCGAACCCTTGAGAACTGACAAGGTACCAAGAGAGATGCTGAATCTAAAGTTACAACTTTGGGCAAGCCCACCAATCGATATGATGGGGCTGATAGGAGAGCGCATATAAAGAGGTGTCTTCGATTAGGGAGAGGAGTTTCATTACTAAAGAAATATTTTCAAAAACAGATCCAAGGAAAATTTGCAAGGATGAGAAGAGACTAGCTGGATGAAGACGAATATTAGAAAGAGAATAAGAGAGAAGACTAACTAGTTAGTGGATGACATAGGGCTGATAGTGATAAAGAGCTGGAAGCTGGAGAAGAGCATCATTTGAACTTCATACTTGACTTAGGGTTCCAAATAGCAAAACGTAATGGTTAAGAACATGACCTTAAGAGTTAGGTAAACTGTAGTTTAAATCTTTACCTTGCCATTTATCAGCTGTGTGATCCTGGAAAGTAATGATTTACTAATTTATCTATGAACTAGAAAAGGTAATATGTACTTCATAGAGTTGTTATGATGATTGAATACATTTATACAAATAAAGCTGTTATCCCAGTGCATGGATATAATAAAAGCTCAATATTTGGTTGCTGTAATGTTGTCATTATTGTATTGTGATTTTTACTGCTGGTACTATTCAAACTCCTATAAACTCATGCTCTCTTCCCACCTTCACTTATTATCACTTGGACATTCTCTCTTTCCATTCCACCCTTCCCAAATTCTAATAATACTATCTACTTTTCAAAAATATCTTCATATTCCCCGGAAGAACAGATGGTGATAAGAAGGAAACAGCAATGTTTTCAACCCCAATTTTTTCACATTTTCTTTCTTTATCTTTTTTTTTTTAACCTCTTTACAGCTTGTGGCAGATTACGTGTTGGTTTTAAAATACACTTCTCGTTTTTGGCTCATCAGTTAACTCTGAAATGCTCTTTTAATAACAAATAAGTTTTTTCACAATGCATTCTAGGATGTAATTAAAATAAAGGATAACTTGTGGACATAATATGGGGAAGTTTATTAACCTCCCAGCATAGATGGAGATATACAAGCACATTATAAGATCTACCAATGGTCAGGCATTGTCATATGTTAACTCACTTAATCTTAATTTTCATCTCAATCAATCTAAAGAGCTATAAAACTCCATAAGAGAGGCATTCAAATATATTTATATCTTGTGAAATAAAATCTGCAAACAAATCCTTGATGTCCTTGGCATCAATAACGTAACAAAAAAATAAGAACTTAAAATCATTGTTATGACTAATTTCTGTTATAGTTATCCTAAAATGGTTCTCCTCAGAAAAGATATTCACAGTTATTAATATTAATATCAATGCTCTGTTGCCCACATCTCATATTTCCTGCATTGACCTACAAAGAGGAAATTTCCCTTTATCCTAAAGCTCTAATGGTTATTATAAAGTGCCAAATGAGATGTCTTGGAAATTCTTTAAAAATATGAAATGGGACATTTGATAATGTCCTAATAAGTAATATTCCCTAATATTTGAATTACCAATAAAACATGTCCAATTTTATGAAGAAAAAAATTCTAACTCAGAATCATCCACAGGGTTGCTAGTTTCTGATGTTCTCATGTGTTTTTCTCACAATCAGTAGTAGTATATAAAAGGCATTTGTTATTTTATTTAATGTCCAGAATATGAATGACATTATAGGGGAAAGGCACTAGTACAAATTTAGGTTTTCTCTTAACAGATCAAATGCCATAAGTTCAGTCACTTAGCTTAAAGTCTACTTACATCACATCGAAGTCATGATGTAAATGAAATGAAAGAGCTGTATTAAAATGTTAAGCATAAAGCAGTAGTCAAGAAACTTGTATCTACTTCCATAGATTCCTTTCTGCCTATATAAGTATCAGTTACCTATACTGTATAAGTATCAGTTATGTACAAATGTCTTTTCCCCTATTCAAAGCAGCCTCACATCTCAGGCAGATACTGAGATATTTTTTAACATGTAAATAAACTAGCATTAATGAAGAAGGGACACTTTTTCAACTTTTATCCTTTATAGTTATTTGCCTAGATCCTTACAGTTAAATATCTTTATAACAAGCAATTTAATAAAAGTATCCTTAAAAATTTTAATGGAAGTAGCTTCAGTGTCACATCTATGCTTGTTATTTTGTCACTTATATTTATCTCTGTTTTTATTTTTTATTTTTTTCTATTTTCCCAGCTTTCAATATTATGGACTTTTAGGTAGTGTTATTATTATAGTACTTGGTCATTAGTGGTTTCTCTTACGGAAAAAAAGTCATAATTACTCTAAATTCTACATTGAATTATGTACAATTTTCTCACAATACTATCTCAACATCCAAAAGCCCTCCTTCCCAGAAAAAGGAAAAAGAGCCTGAACCCACTGTAAGTCACATGTAAAGGTTAGAGAAAAGAAGGAAAAGATAAGCAAGTTTGCCTAGTAGATTTCTGAAATGAGACAAACATTTTGAGCCAAAGTTCACACACATTTCAAACATAAGTAGTATATTTGTGCTGCTAGAACCTGAAACTTGAGTTGTCAACAAACCTAAAATAGATTGGGCAACCCTGAACCATATCAAATCATATGACAGAAACTACTTATTTCAAGACAAAAAGCGGGGCAGGGATTATGCGATACTCAAGAAACATTAAAATACTTACCACATCAACTTTCTTATATCAGCAATCTCTAAAATCCACAGTTCAGTCTTTTTCAATCATAAAATCACAAAATCACATAGTTCTGGCTTTGCTTTTTCTTTAGCTAGGAAAAATAATCCTGGATATAAGACTTTATAGATTTTCTAGAATCCTCTTACTTTCAATATGTGTTCTTACAATCCTGTTCCAACTCTCTAAATCTAGTTTATACAAAAAGACTAATCTGAGCTCCACAGTGAGAACAGATTGGCCACTGTCACTGCTTCCCGAGCAAACCACTGTCTTCCCCCCCTGCTCAGCTGCTGCACTGCCCCCTCTTCTGAACACACTGCTCCTTTTCAGTTGTTTGCTTTCTCTTTGTCTTTCTTTCTCTTCCTACAAAAACCTCTCTCAATCTCATCTAGTCTTTTATTTCCTGAACTATTCATTTCAATCTATAGCAAAAATTTTGCTAAAATAATCTTAAAGACACAGATTAGAATATGATTTTGTCAAATTAGTTAAATAAAGTGTGTGTCTAAAAGGTCAACAAAAATCGCTAAATTGAAACCCTAATTTGAATCAAAGCTTTGCCATCCACTGTGTGAACCTTAGAGAAAACATGAAAGTTTGTAGATTGCATATTGGTCCTCCTTTAGAAAATGGACATAATAGTATTGTTGATAAATGTGATAAAAACCAGAAATAACTAACAGCAACTAACAACATGCATTGAGAGCTGCTATGTGCCATTTCCATGTATTAACACTTTCATTCTTCACACATACATAAACGCAAGATAGAACTACGACTATACCCAGTTTTAAAAGGAGGAGACTGAGGCACTGAGAAATTAAGTGATGCAATTTGTCCATGGTCAAAGTTCAGTAAATGCTGAGACTGAAATTCAAAACCAAGCATTCTAACTTGTGGTGAGCTCTTAGGCATTACTCAGTCCTATCAGTCTGCCTCAGTGGGTTGTTATAAAAGTCAAAGAAAATATTGTATGTGAAAATATTATGGAATCTGGAAATTTCTGTTTAGCTAATATTAACATGTTTAGAAGACTGCAGAGGTGGTAAAGTTTATTCTCATATTTCTTATTTTTTAAATTTTCACTCGAATCTAAATTAATTTTCTCTAGCACAGTTTTTATTCCTGATCTCATACTCACCTACAGAATATACAGTTATTCACAAATATTTGGTGCTTCTCCCTGCAGGTGAAATATACACCCCTGTCCTATTGTAGTCGGGAATGTCCATGTGATTTGTTTTGGCTATGAAATGCAAACATAAGCAATATGTTCCACTTTGTGGCCTCTGTGATAGTTAAAGTATGTGTCAAAATGATGTTTCTGTGACAGATTGTAAAGTGATCTGATACAAAGAGTGTCCTTGTTGATCTGAGATGAACATGAGAGATAAACTTGGCATTTGTAAGCCACTGAGAAGTTTTAGTTTTTGTTACTTTCGTATAACCTATTCTATCCTGATTGGTACAACCACTAAGTACCCTTAAGCTCTTTGATTCATAAGACATTCCATATACATTTCCTTTCTTTTGGGATGAAGGAAGTCAAGGGAAGAATAGATCATAGGATCAGAGAACGTTAACATTGAAATAGACTACTGGAATAAACTAGGCCAGTGGTTTCCAGGATTTCCAGATTTCGAGTCTAACTAATCAGTATAACTTCAAAAATTTTATAAACATATTTTAACAGAAATAAACATTAAATTTAGCTTTATAAAGAAATCTACCATTTGTACATTGTTCTGGACTTTTTTTGTCATTTGGAACCCCTTATCTAAAGCTAATCTTATTTTATTGATATAGAAAACCAGATCTAGGAATGAGACAAGTAGAATTACATTTAACAAATAATCACTTTAAAAAGTAACAAAAACGTTTTTGCCTGGTAAATAGTTGTAAAAATTAAAGCAGATACGTCTTTGGCACTATCTTAGTTTTTAGCCACATCTATGATTTCTCAAGACTGGAGAAGCTATTCAAAAAACAAGTGACAGTCTGAGAGAATGTACTTTCTACATACCACAAAGAAACTATAACAAGAACATAAAATAAACTTCAAGTAATCAATAAGGAGAAAAAACTTTAAAAAACAAAAATAGATAGAAAAAGCAATATGCAAATCCTAAAAAAGGAAACCCAAATGGCCAAAAAAGCATGTGAAAGAATGCTCAATCTTGATGGTAATTTGAGAAATGCAAATTAAAATAAGAAATTATTTTTCATCTCTTAAAATGGCAAAAATGAGAGGCTTTATAATGTTAATTTTTAGTGAGAGTGTGGTAAAGTTATTCTGAATGCAGTATTACTACTAGAGAGAGTACAAATTGGTACTATTTATGGGCAATTTTACATAACATCAAAATATAAAAATGTGCTCAAAATTCCACTTCTACTTATCTAGCCTACAGAAATATTCACCCATGTGTACAAAGAGATATGTACACAGAATTTCATTACAACATTACTCATAACAACAAAATCTTTGGAAATAAATGTCCATTACATGGGGAAATGGCTAAATAAAATATAGTATAACCATACTCTGGAAGATAATGCAACAGTTTCTTATTTTTATTTTTTTAAAGAGACAGATTTAGTTGTAATAACATGAAAAGTCATTTTGAATGAAAAAACACTTTTATAGTCATTCCAAAAATATGTACAACATTCTATATGAGCACATGTATGTATGGAAATAAATTGCATGTAAATTCACAAAGGAAATTAGTAACAGGTTCTTTCTGGTGAAGTAGGGATGAAACTCAACGGAATTGAAGTTTAATGTGTAATGTTTTAACACTTTTGAACAACAAAAATATACACATATTACATATAAAATATTTTTAATTGGGAAAAAATACTTCCCCGAAAATGTAGCAATTAATTTCATAAGCCATTTGATAAGAGCCTCTTATGTGATCTTAGTACAATTAGTATATTCTGTAGTATTTCAATCCTTTAAAAGGCTTGCAGGGGCTGGCTAGTGGTGTAGCAGTTAAGTTGGCGTGTTCATTTTGGTTCGCCGGTTCAGATCCCCAGTGTGAACCTACGCACTGCTTGTCAAGCCATGCTGTAGCAGGTGCCCCACATATAAAGTAGAGGAAGATGGGCATGGATCTTAGCTCAGGGCCAGTCTTCCTCAGCAAAAAGAGGCGGATTGGCAGTAGTTAGTTCAGGGTAATCTTCCTCACAAAAAATAAATAAATTAAAAAAAAGAATGTTGAAATGGACAGATTATCCTGGATCATCCAAGTGGGCCCTAAATGCCATCACATTTATAAGAGAGAGGAAGAAGGAGATTCGATACACATATATAGAAGAGGCAATGTGACTCAAAAGGCAGAGAGTGCAGTGATGTGGCCACAAGTCAAGGAATGCTGGTGGCCACCAAAGCCAGAAGAAATAATGTTTCGATTTTTCCTTTGAGCCTTTGGAGATCACATGGTCCTTTTTGACACATTTTTGCTCAGTAGAAGAGATTTTGGATTTCTAGTTTCCAGAACTGTGAGAGAATAAGAGTCTGTTCTTTTAAGCCACTAAGATTGTGGAAATTTGTTACAGTAGCCATAGGAAACTAATACAAGTATGTAGTCTTTTGTATATCACTAGTTGCTTTAATCATATCACCATGGGTTTGGTATGGTAAAGCCAGGCTCAGATCAAGAGAGAGAAATCAGAAAGTTTTTCAGTTTGTTATGATCACAGTTCCCTGAGGGGAAATAGGACACCACACAGGGCCACTCAAGGGAAGCCACAAGGCAGAGGGAGAGCAGGAAATTATGGACCAGTGCCTTTTTTATGGTGTCTGTGGGGAGGAATGGGTGAGGCAGGGGAGGCAGATTTATGATGGCTAGTTTTAAGAATTTCAGTGGGCTCTGGGGTATAAGGCATTTTCTTGGTTGTCTAGCACCTAGCCCTTGGGCAATTGCAGCAGGTATATAGTGGTGTAGAGCAAGAGAGTTAACTAAGGGAGATGGTTTAGAGCATGAATTTAATCAGCTGTTCAAAAAGGAGAACCAACTGGCCTCTAGTCAGGGCCTCAAAATTGGGTCAGACAGCATTTGTAAAATATGTATTACAGTAGTCTGCTCCTTTATATTGCTAGGTGGTATTCTATTGGATGAGTGTACCATCGTTTGTTTATCCAACCACATGTTGATGGACATTTGGGTTGTTTTCATTTTTGGGTTATTATAAATAAAGATGTGAACAAGGATGAACAAGACATTTTATAGTCTTATGTTTTCATATCTCATGGGTAAATACCTAGAAGTAAAATCGTTGGTTCTTATTGTAAGTGCATGTAAAGTTTATAAATATTGCCAAACTGTTTCCAAAGTGATTATACCACTTTATACCTCCACTAGCAACCTGAGTGATGCAATCGATCCACGTTTCATACACTTGTCATTATCAGCCTTTTTAATTTTAGTAATGCCACTCTTCTGTGAGTGAAGTGATATTTCATTGTGGATAAATTTTCATTTTCCTGATAACTAAGGAGATTGACCATCTTTCTCCAAGCAATGTCCTAAAGTGTTCAGTGTTTTGATCTTACATATAGTTTGCTAAATTTATCACTAATTAGTTTATGGGTTTTGGTGCTATTTTATGCTATTTTTCAAAATTTCATTTTTCACTTATGACTACTATATAAATATATATCTTGCTAAATTCACTCATTAGTCTTAGCAGTTATTTTTTAAAGTTTCTTCATGATTTTCTGCATAACCATGACACCTGAGAATGAAGATATTTTTACTTCTTTCTTTCCAATCTATGTCTTTTCTTTTTCTTGCCTTACTGCATTGGCTAGGACTTCAAATAAAATATTAAATAGCTTGCATCCTTGCTTTTTTCTTGATCTCAGAAAGGAAATTATTATGGGTTAGACTGTGTTTCACAGCACCCCCCCAAAGCCTAATTCATATATTGAAGCCTCAGAATGTGTCCTTATTTGGAGATAGGCTCTTTACAGAGGTAATCAAGTTAAAGTGAGGTCACCAGAGTAGGCCCTAATCTAACATGACTACTGTTATTATAAAAAGGAGAAATTTGGACAAAGAGACACACTAAAAGGGAAGAAAATGTGAAGGAACATAGGGAGAAGATAACCATCAACAAACCAAGGAGAGAAGCCTGGAAAAGATCCTTTCCTTTCAGCTCTCAGAAGGAACCAATTCTGTCAACACCTTGAATTTAGACTTCTAGCCTCCAGAATTGTGAGACAACAAATTACTGTTGTTTAAGCCACTCAGTTTGTGGTACTCTTTTATGGCAGCCCTAGCAAAGTAACACAGGAACATTCAATGTTTTACCAATAAGAATAACATTAGCTACAAGATTTTTGCAAATGCTTTTACCAGGTTGAAGATATTTTATTCTCTTCATGGCTTGCTTTTGAATATGAATGTGAGATAAATTTTGTTGAATGCTTTCTCTGTATCCTTTGAGACAAAGTTATCGTGGAGAATTACATCAATTGATTTTTGAATGTTTAAAAAACATTGCATTCCTGGAATAAACCCCATTTCATAATGATCTAGTATTCTATTTTATATACTGCTGAACTGAAATGTTCTCTTCAAATTTTGATATACTCTAACATCACTATTTATTTTTTTTCTAATTTCTCTTGTGATAATTTTCACCCACAGGTTACTGAGAAGTATATTATTAAATCTGCAAACATCTGGGGCATCTTTTAGATATCTTATTGTAATTCCATTTTGGCCAGAAAACATAAATTTAGTATTTGGATCTTTTGATATTTATCAACACTTATTTTATTGCCCCAAATCTGTTGACCTTGGTGTGGTAGGCAGAATAAGGGTTCCCCAACGACGTCCACGCTCTAGTCCCTGGAATTTGTGAATATGTCATGTTAAATTGCAGAGACCTTAGATGTAATTAAGGTTATACCTATTAGAATGGGGAGACTATTCTAGATTGTCCAGGGGGTTTCAATCTAATCACATGAGCCCATAAATAAAATAACTTTCTCTGGGGTTGGGGGTAAAGTGATATCAAAGAAGTTGGAGCAATTAGACTTGTTATTGCTTGGGGGTTAAGGCACACTTGGAAAACAAGAAGGAATGTAGGCAGCCTCTAGGAACAAAGACTGGCTCCTGACTGACAGTGAGCAAGGAAATGAGGACCTCAGTTCTACAACAGCAACTGAATTCAGCCAATAACCTGAATGAGTTTAGAAGCAGATTAATCCTAAGTCTGCAGGAAGAGATGCAGCCAGACTGACACGTGGATTTTGGCTCTGCAGACTCTAAGCAAAGGACCTAGCTGAGTGGCACTGTATCTGGACTTCCGATCTATAGAACTGTGAGATAATAACTGGTCATTGTTCAGAGGCAAAATTTATGGTAATTTGTTACAGCAGCAACAGGAAGTTAGTACACTTAGTTAACATTCCATGAGAACTTGAAAAAAATGTATATTCTACAATTGTTTGGTGTAGTGTTCTGTAAATGTTAATTAATGCATTAGTTTCCTATTGCATTTGTAACAAACTATCAAAAACTTAATGGTTAAGGGGTCAGCCCCGTGGCTGAGTGGTTAAGTTCGTGCCCTCTGCTTCAGCGGCCCTGAGTTTTGCCGGTTCGAATCCTGGGCGCGGACACGGCACTGCTCATCAAGCCATATTGAGGGGGCATTCAACATGCTACAGTTAGAAAGACCCACAACTAAAAATACACAACTATGTACCAGGGGGCTTCGGGAGAAAAAGGAAAAATAAAATCTTAAAAAAAAACAACGATTTAAAACAACTATCCTGAAATCTCCCTCTGCCTCCCTTTTCACCTTGAAGGATCCTTGTGGTAACAGTGGGCCTACCCGGTAATCCAGGATAGTCTCTCCATCTTAAAATCCTTAACTTAATCAACATGTGTTGAATTCCTTTTGCCATTTATGGAAAAATATTCATAGGTTCTGGGGATTAGGATATGGACATCTTTGGGGGCCATTTAACTGACAATGTTGTTTAGATATTCTATATTCCTACCAATTTTTTGTCTAT